AAGAAAATTAACGAACTTATGTTTCTAATCATACCCTTCACGTGGACCTGAAAATCAAATCTGTAAAAGAAGAAGCAGTCACTTACTATAAAAGATTCCATAATCAGCTTGCATCTCATCCCAATCCTTTAATTAAAGCTCTATCAGCAAATACTATTCTGGGAAATCCTCCAAGGCGTTTAAAACGCAACTGGTGTAGAGATATGCTAACTTAATATTATAAAAACAGTAAATAAATAAATTCATATTTATATATATAAATTAATGTATAATCTCAATATTTAAGTGTCATCACTGGGTGGCTGCTTTTATCAAGCCTTTTCATGTATTACAYTATCTCAGCTAATACTCTTATTGTACCCATGAGGTACAGATTGTGTATATAATAATAAAGAATAAAAAATAAATAAAAATATTTTATGTATATAAATAGTACAAAATGTCCGCATTCTGCAATGTACCTTTTAACCCAACAGTACAAAGTGTCCCAGTTTCGTACTTTCAATATTTGATCATACAAAGTGACCTAAAACCAGGGCCGCAGTGCAAGTATTATTTCGGCGCCTTTCACCCTCTTTTTAAATATATAAACAGGCAACCACGCGCCCTCTTAATTATGGCGCCCCTGTGCCATAATCAAGTTGATCGTATCTAAAGCCCGCCCTACCTAGAACAACCCACTGCACTGTGTTAAATGTAGCCTAGATCCTTCACTGAAAACTATACAAAGTCAATTGAGTTACCAGCCAAATGTGCTTACCGATTATAAAGGCTACCTGTCTTGTAAAAAGCTACAACTAAATCACAACAAGAAACATGCTATTCATTCAATCAGTGCAAAAATAAATGTGGTCCTCAAGGTTCCAGAAGAACATACCTAGATCAAAATAAAATTAAGATTTTCAGTCAGAAAGCATTTTCATTGTGCTGTCACAATTAATTTCAAATTTAAATTCAATTGTCAGTCTACTGACTGTCTATTTCCTTTCTTCCCTGTTCTAAATGAATTMATTGCCAAAGAACTCATATTTAAGTTTTCCACTATTTTTAACCTTCATTTTAAATCTTTCTTATCCTTCATTAAAAACCTTTCCTATTAATAACTACTYCATATTCATTGTATAACAATATCTAATTATCAAATTAGTATTAAACACATACTACTCTAACTATAAATACACACATAATATAACAGTACTAAGTTTAATCCATGACAACATATCAATTTAAATTTGTTATAAAGAATTATTCAAAAAAATAAATTTGATATCATTATAATTATTTTATTCTTATCCTGGATGTATATTCAATTAATTGTTGAGCTATAATAACTTTAAGTTGAAAACTAATAAAAAATAAAAACCCATTTCCTAATAATAATATAAAATGTTTTATAACCGGATCAATAAAATCCATGTTGAGGCCATCACATAGTTGTTCAATGCGTAGCGTGATCTTGTCCATTAGTACTTCTTCCAAACGGCCATCTAAACAAATACATTTTAATGACAACAGATTTTCTTAGCAATTAATTTGGAGGGACTTTATTCATATAATAGAATAGATATTATTTTATAATTTTACTATTAATAGATAACCAAATAATCGTTAGGACAGAAATATCTGGTGCCTGGTAAAGGAAATTCACATACCCTCCAATTGCCCACTACCAAGTTTATATATGCAAGAGTAATAAGGATAATTTAAAACAACATATAATATTTAAACGAAAGTCATTATAAAGGTACCAACATATTTTTTATGAATTGGYATATAGCTAATGAATGGCGGTTGTCTTTTAAAATTTAAACATGTCAATTTATCTGGCTCAAATACACTGATTACCTATATACTAATATTGTAATAGGTATCTACATTGTGTGTAATTAATACACAATGAATAACAGACAAAAACAAATATAATATCAGTAATTACCTCGCTTTTTAACGAACAGATTCGTATTAGACTTTCCCGAGTAGTCCATCATGATTGGTGAGGTTCGTAAGCACGGAAAGCTCAAAATCACTGACGGCTGAACGCAGAATCAGACAGAATCGGGCACAAAAATAAGATTAAACCGGTGGATAATATATATAACACAATTACGATTAATTAATATTATCAACGTGTGCGCCTGTTTGGAGGAGTTAGTTTGCACCTGCCACCTTGCCGAATACGAGTATACGACGTATCCTATCGCCAAAATAACCGGATGTATTGGATGTACTTTAATAATAAAAATAGACAACAGTATAGCTAACTATAATAGTGTATTAGTGAATCATGTTATAATAATATTGTTGTTGTGCAGCTGTTGCTGTACTCTGAAGCCGCTAGCCTCGACCAATTGGCAATTATTAACGATTAACCGCCAATAGGCAATAAGTGACACAATGTACAAAGAAGGCGGACAACACGCGAATTGCATAAACGGCGGCAAACACAATATTATTATCTTATGAATAATGATAAGATGATAGTAGCACAAGGTTTCCCGCGTTTTTCCTACCATATGGCGGCTTGCAGTCGTACCCAACGTGTAAAATATAATATTGATGATATTGTTCTGTGGCGGTTTAGGCCATAGGGACCGAATCTAGGACGTTTCTCCCCGTGCCTTTCCCCCCCCGAAAGGCCCGAACAGGACAATCTCCCCCCCGAACAAAAAAAAATAAGTAGACAATAATAATATACAATGCAAATAAATAAATGTAAAAACTAAAAATGATTGAATTAATATATAAATATAATTGTATAAATGTAAATAGGTAAATCTACTGCAGCTAGAATAAAATAATAATATCGACGATAATTTGTCGTACTATATAATTTATTATTCGTACCTTAAACTAAGAAAACGCATTAAAATCGTCAAAAAATGCAAAAAAATGTGTTTAAATAATCAATATCATACATTAAGATGATCGTATACTTCTGGTAAAACCAAAGTACCTATTTTCAAAATTATTATTATGTAAAAAAATATTAACATCAATTCTGGGGGGGGTTGACGTCTCAGTTCGGAGGGGAAATATCCAGTACCGCTAAAATTCCCGGGGGGGAAACGTCCACATACCATAAGGACCTTACCTGAAGATTCTATTCTGTCGTATTACGCTCATATATAAATCGTATAACTAGTACCTATTAATTATTATACAGCTTTATATAAAATTATAATTACTATTATTAAACGAACTACATGATATTATATAATTATTGTGTAGTAAATATATTTACATCAAGCCACAGACTATATAAWATATAAAATTACAATTTTCCCATAGCCTGGGTCAAGCAGTTATGATTTTTACTACTTGGGCGGTGAACTGGGTTTCGAAAATCGGTAATAAAATCTCTCCGGTTCTTTAGGCCCCTTAAATAACCACTAGTAAATTGTGATTAGGTATTAGTTATTCATAAGGAATAATCCCTAGTTCCTACTTCCTATGGGGCAGTAAGCGCTAAGTCTAAAGAGTAAAGAAGAACCGTACGTTTTGTGTATACTTTCTTTCTATAGAACTATCAACTATGCATGCCTTCGACCGGGCTCAACATATAAAAAAAACAGATAAACAGTCATTTGAGTAGGTAAGTAGTGAAATCCGGTCCTGGATAAAACATTATGGTAATGATTGAGA